TATTGCAGTATATGCTGGGAATGCAGACACACACACACACACACACACACACACACACACACACACACACACAGGAAAATAAATAAATAAGAGACAGTGGCCCCCATGCCAGAAACACTAATCACTCTACACGCCGACCTCGTCGTCGCCACGGAAACAGCCTGACGACGGGTTGTCATGGAGATTTGCCAGGAAGATCAATGGGCTGGGGAACGGGCGGCGGCGGTGTCTACGGACACAGAATTGTGAGCGCGGCCGGGTCAGCGAGACGGGGGGCTCGGGGAAAATCGATGGCGCCAATAACCAGCTGGCTGAGAAGACGCTCCAGGAAATGATGGGATGTAACCAGTGAGGTGCTGAGCTCAGCACAAAACAAAAGGAGCTGTCGACACAAATTATGCAAAAAAGGGGGAAGATTTATCCGTCCGCCCAGAGGAGGAAAGGGCTGTGACAGGGCAAGGGAGGCTAGTTTGAACCAGCTTTAACCGCCTCGCCCCACGGGACGGGGCAAGAGAGGGATGGAGCAGAGGACAAAATGCTGGAGTGATGGCGACAGAGTGGTAGAGGGCAGGACATAATGCTACTGTGGCAATCCACAGCCAAGTGCTCCTCCCTGGGGAGTGGTGAGGAAGTGTGAGGAGGCCTCTGCTCTCTCCACTGACTGCGAAGCACTGTTGGCTTCTCTTGGGCTTCCCAATTGTTGCCCCATGGATCATCTGTTAATCCAGACACACTCACACACACAGACACACTCTGCAAAAACACTACAGCATCACCAGTCACTACACAAATCATATCAAATGACCAGATGTGTGATGAATGAGAGAGAATGAGTGCTGGTGAAGATCCTGAGAGAGAGGCAATGGGGAGGAATGTTGCTGACCACTAAAAGGTGGTGATACACAGGGAAACTTCTAGAGCAACTCTGTGGGGCGACACCGTCTAACTCAATTGCTGCTTTACCATATTTCTTTTGACTTTTAACCACTTTTCCCTTTGTTTGTTGAGCCCACTATACTTCCATGTGTATCACCACACTAACGTAAAACCTCTATGAAAGACCTCTGCACTACACACCTCCCCCTGCAGAAATCTGTTCGATGGGGAAATTAAGAATGTGTGTTCGTGGTTGCAAAATCTAAGACCCCATTTACACCTGGTATTAACATACAATCTGTATCTGGATAACGATATCAGTTCACTGGCTTTGCATTTAGACCTGGTATTAATAAGCATTCTTGTTATTCAGTACCTCACTGCCCTACACACTGGTACTTTAAATATTCTTGACTAAATAACCAACTATCAAGTTACAGTTAGCCAAAAAAACAACAACATAATTTACTTGGAGTTTAACATTTAAAAACTCAGCTATAGTCTGTTTCATCATGTGTGGGTGTGGTTGATCAACAGTGCTGGCAACATTAATAAGGCCAACCACCCCACAGCTGACATCACATTTTGATTAAAATATTTGCTGAATCTTTATCGGTGCATAGAAAGTTCACACCACCTCAAACCAGTGAGAGGAGCACTGAAAAACACAGCATTCTCGAGAGAAATCTCTCATTAAAACTGCTCATTTAATGTGTGTTCATGAATGAATGTCAGATATCCAGACAAAGATCACATGTTATAGCCACGTGTGTAAATAGGGTCTACTCTATCAACATCACCCTAAGTTGATCTTTCGCACTGTGACATCTTCACTTTTCTGGATTTTAACTTTTATGTCTCCAGTATCTCCCACTACGGCTTAACATAAGCCACCATATAGTGTGTATGTCATATTTGTTTTGATCTTGGAGTAGCAGTAAAGACAATAAACTATAGTCCAATAAACCAAAGACCAGGTTTGCCAACCTGTTCCAGTCCTACATGCTATATTGTCTCAAATGTTAAGTGTTCTATGTGCCGTCCCCCTGCCTGTATACATTTGTGTTGGTGTGTGTCACCAGTGTGGTGAGGTGCTATGTGGGATGCTAGTGGCCAGCATGCCGGTAGATAAGAGCTTGGTAGAAGGTTAGCGGGTTTACCTGGTCCAAGGTAGAGTACCTTGACTTGAGCGTGATGACCTCATCCAGGTGAGCCCTGAATTCTCTCCGTGAGGCCTGGGGGAAGCCACAGGATAGTCACTCACCTTCATGCCACACACACACACTCTCGCACAGACAAGCACTCCCTCTCTGATCAACACAACATATCAGTTAGTGGTGCTTTTAAAACACAGTTGCTCACAGTCTCCTAATTCTGAGCACAATTGCACGCACACACAGACAGACAGACACACACACACACACAGACACACACACACACACACACGCACACACACACCCCAGAACTAACCTGACACATATTCTGCAATCGCATCAAAGGAAATTTAAAAATAAAAAGATGTTGCAAACAACTGGAAAACCACCAACAACACCACAGATGGATGAAGAACAGAACCAGATCAGTGGATTTGACAACAGTGGAGCGCTGCTGCTGTGGACACATTTCTCTATTAGTGTGTGTGCAAGTGGAAGTTAAGTGAAGCCAAGTGAGTGCTTGACCCCTGGCCGTACCCAAGGCCTCTGTCAGGGAACATGTGGCCTTAGAAGGAAGATACAGATCACAAGTAAGGTCACTATAATACTCCAGTTACAGTGGCCTGTTTGTTTGGTATTTAACTTTCAATCGTACTGCTACAAGAACAGTATTTGGATTACAATCATTTTATGACACGAGTAAGGACCTCTTAAATTGGGTTATCAAAAGATCGTGATTAAGAGATAGATATATATGCTGAGCAGCACATTTCACAGTTGAAATTGTACAAAAAAAAGAGCAAGTCTACCAGCAAATTTTAAATCAACTTATGTCGGCTAAAATCGGCTTCAAATATTGGCTCTAGAACATAATAGTATAACTAGATACTTAGAATAGTATATCTAGAAGTAATTCAATTACAGTAATGTCATCGGTTCAGGACAGAAATTGCATTGCTATTACTTTTTTCTATTTATAAAAATGAGATAAAATATCTGAAAACATATCTGACAGAAATAAGATTAAATTGAATAGTACCTCCCACCAACTCTTCTCTAGATGTCATTACTGTACAATCACAGGTAATTAATGGATTCCGATATCACATCGGACAAGTGTCAGCACTCCTCCACGACCTTGCACCGAGGCCATGTCTTTATCAGTTTATCAGAGTCATTGGGGCCTGACCAGAGTAACAAGCACGGGAGAGTTACAAAGGCTTATAGCACATTTACCGGCCCTTTTCTCTTTTACAAGATGCTGTGTGTGTCTGTGTGTGTGTGAGAGAGGCCCTTTTATGCCCCTGAGGTGCGTAAACACACTTTGTTTGTGCAGGCGTTATGACTTTCATTCAAATACATAATTCAAGCATCTTTCAACTTCAATTCTGAGGTTGAAACGCAGTTGAGGAAGATGCCAAGTGATGGAGGTTTGTTTTTTTCTTGATGGTGTGTGAGAGTGGAAACAAGGCGAGGGTTAGATACAGAACGTGTAACAGAGCGAAGGCAACATTTTACTACAAGACAAAAATTAGAAGAAAAACACAACAAGAACACGTTCACGCAAAAACAGAAAGAATGTACAAAAAGGACTGTGGGTAGTGTGTAGAAAAACCACAGAGAGACAGCAGGAGTGCAGCAGGCAGGGCAGCACGCACACAGAGGAAAGGATATGAAGTTTAGGGGGTGGAGCAATCATTCCAGGCAGGAAGTAAGAAGTGCGGTTGGAGAGGAAGGGAGTAGAAACCGATGCCATGATGACGGCCGTAACGTTGCCTTAGAACACATGCAGGAGTACCTCAGCAATGCTTAGGGTGGATGAACAGGAGGGGAGCCGCGCCTGGTGCCGCGAGAGAGAGGAGGGGAGAAGAGAAGAGGGTTAACACAGCCAAAGCCGGGTTGAGCAGGGGGACAGAGGCACACAGAGACTGACGGGTGAAGCAGACGGCGTCCTCTGTCTTTCAGGAGGACATCTGCCTGACAGCTCTCTGTGTGACTGTCTCGGATGAGCCAAGGCAGCAAGGGGCATGAGCAGGACAGGACGGGACGAGATAGGACAGGACAGGTCAGGACAGCAGGTAGGATTTCAGAACAATGGGAGAAGAGGTTTCACAGGAAACATCACACATTTTGAACACTATGTCAATTCTTCGGCTTGTCAAACGCAGCTTAAATTTGCAAGTGTGTCGGTTTATATTGACGAGACCTGATAGCTAAATAGATTCCACATGTACTCTGTTTATACCTGAGCTTCAAAGCTTTTATTGCTCCGTGAAGGCAGTTGTAGAAAATCAGCCCAATGGGAGGAGTTTCGTCCTTCTGAGCCCTTTCACAGAGAGCTGAATGACTGGTTGCAACGCCACTATACTATTCCATTCTTGTCTATGTACTCGTCCTAATCCAGGATTGAAGGACTCAAACGTCTGAGTGTGGAAGATGTGTGAACTGTACCATGTGGGACATGCTCTCTTGGTTGCACACAGGTATACAATGAAATATGTGCTTGATGTCCTGATTATCATATCAGTTTCTTACAAGCATATGCCTTCAAAATATACAAATGAATTCAACTGCAATATCACAGAAAGCATGCAGTTTTCCATTAGTATTTACCACTATGTTAGGTCATACATTGAATGGAAAATTCATATATTCCAATGGTTTAAAAGGTGCCAGAAATCCAGATCAATTATAACTGATAAAGGATGAAAACCTCATTACCACACAGTACTGACGGTAAGCCCTGCAATCAATGGAAGTGTCAACCATTGATCCAAAATGTCTCCTTGATATTCCTTCTTCCCCATCATGTCGTACTCAGACTATAACACGACAAGTAAACCGGAAATCACACAGGAAATAAAAAGAGCAAGGGAAATGCAATGTAATGTATTTCTAGCACCGAAAAGTATCACCTACTACCGCACTACTGGGGTCAGCCATGATTGGAGCATTTTCATTCATGCTGTGGTAAGAACATTCTAATAACATTGCGTCCACCAGGCACATCAAGGCTTTTATTACCTCCACTAATGAGGCTGGAAAGTGGTCATGTTTCTGCCTTGAGAGTTAATTTTGATCTGGATTTTAGTTTATAATTATAGTCATTATGCCATTCATTTTCTGGTGGAAGAGTCATTCCCTATGCCCAAGACATCAAATGTATGGCATTTCATTCCACTGGTATTTTGTCAAAAAAAACACAAAACACAAACATGGCCATTTGCATTGGCAGAGGTTTTTGCTGCTAACTGGAAGATCCTTTTAAAAACATCACATCTATTCCCCGCAAAATAATGGTCGGCATGAACGCCAAGCTCACTGTCAATTATTACTAATGTCATTCGATTATTCCCTACCTTTCCTCATGAAACAGTAACAGTTTCAGATTATTTGATAAATTGCCTTTTTTAAAGTGGGGCTGTCAAGGAGATGAGCTCCTAATTGAAATGGTTTGGATTCACAGTAGCTGCCCTCATCAAACTCACAGCTCAGGTAATGGACACTGGCAGGAAACCACAGGGGGCTGCACATTGAAACCCAGGAGTGAAGTACACAAAGATCTCCTAAATTCCTGCAGTAGCAAGGTAGCACTCTGTTAAAAGAAAGCTCAATTTACCAACATCGAATGATGCTATTTGTCCTCTCCTCATTACACAAAAAGAAGATATGTGTCAGTGACATGAATTCTGTATAATAAAATTCAATATTGAAGTATTCTGAAACCACCTGCTGCATATGTGTAGTATTTTTAAAATTTAATTTCATTGGACCATCTTTGAGATTATACTGAAGTCTGTCTTCTTTGGTATTACCACTAGGGTTGAATTCTTCACATAATGGCTCTACAACATAATATAAAAAACAACTCTCTGTCAAAGCTGCATGCAAATACTATGATTTGAAATAAAACCTTTGAATGCAAAAGTAAGAAAAATGATCTGGCAATTACACCACTACCTGACCAAAGGAAAATAAATATTCAAACACCAAAATGTTGCATCATGTTTGGTCCAAGCCATCATCAACCAGAGATCCTGGTCAACAGAAATCCATCCAAGAAACTGGAAGGAAACCTAAACTCTTGTAAGATAAATCACAACTCACACAAGACTGATCTGTTCTAGATTACGGTTGACCTCACTCTGTACACCAAAGCCATTAAAAGTGCCCTGTGGATTTTTCTTGTAAACAAAGCTTCTGCTTACATTCATTGTTTCAACAAAACATTTGCAAAGTTGATTTTATAGCATCTTAAATTCTTTATGTTCATATCCATTATTACTAGCTTGCAGCCTTCTTCTTCACTGTATTTTGCTTCAGTGCATTTCTGCATTTCATGGCGCATTACTACCACGTACAGATAAGTGGAATAGCGTGAAACTGTTGGCAGGAATGTGTGTCTTGTAAACTTGCATTTGTCATTTCCGTTGTAGAGATTCAGAAAACGCAGACTCACACATGTGAATGCGTGTGCATATGAACAGTTAGCCGGCAAGCTGTAGGGAAGTAGATTGTAACTTCTACTACTGTATCACTTTAGGTCAGACTAAATGATTTATGTAAAATTCATGAAGTTTATGTTTTCCAAAATCTCTACAATCGAGGTGGTGGGCGCAAAATTAGCATGACTCAGAATGGCCACACTTATGAAAATAAGAGAGAAACACACAAGTATTTTTTCTTAAACTGGAAACGGAACAACTTTGTATTCTGTCTACCTATAGTACTCAGTGTTACCTTACAAGTCTTTTGACAAACAAAACAACAATGTAACACACTTTATATCTATTATTAGATTACATATTCCTCATATCTTAAGTGAATAATAGATTCAGTTTGAGCAGCGTAAACATCTTTGGAGTAATATCACACACCCTAAGTCTTCTGCTGTCAAATTAAACTCGTGTGCTGTCAGTGCTTTAAGTTGATTTTAAGTTTTGTGCTTACGAACAGCAAGTTCTTGAAAAAGAAAAACGTGCAACGGCTCCCCTCTGAATAAACAAAGGAGAGAAAGAATCCACACTGGGAAAGCCAAACAACCAGTAACCACAGCTGACCCGCAGCATGTGCTGCGTGCTCTACAGGCCGGCCCTGAACATTCATCGCTGCCCTCCGATGGCCGTCTCCGCGTCCGCATCAATTAGAAATTAATGAGCTATTGAGTGAGTTGCCAGCCTGGCAGAGAGTGAGAGCTAACACAGCTGATTTGACAGGCTTGTGTTATATGCTGTTCACCAGTCGCCCCCCCCACCCACGCACGCTTCTCATTTTCATGGTGAATGAACATGATCAGTACAGCTGGACAGACTGGTGTCATCCATTCCTCTTACTTCCTTTCATTTGCTGTCTGTCTAACTGTCTGTCTCACTCCCCCCCTCCGCTCGGACTGTTCGCCTCTCTCGTTCTGTCTCGCTATTCAAAGCTCTCTTGCACTCGTTCCATTCTCTCTCTCCATCGCCTTTGAGGCAAACTCTGCGAGTCAGCGGGCGAGAGTAACTCCAGACACATATAACATCACACACAATGCACGCAAACCTCACACATACAGATGCATGCTCATAAGGCGGCATGTGTACTGAAGACACGTCTACACACACTCATTGATATAGTGTGCTTGTATATATCTACAGTATTTATCTTAATAATAAAAATAGTTCACGTGCTCTATGGACCAATGAACAAGCACACTGGAGTCGGCTAAAGTATTCTTGAGTTGAAGCCTTCAGCAACTTGACCCAAATGGTCTTTGGGTGCTAAGAGCCAAATGAAGCAAGGGAGGGGGCTTTATGTGTGTACATTAATCAGAGACAAAAGAGCACTTTCCTTCAGGCCGTAGCTACTTTCATCTGGTCTCTGAAACAATATATCACATGTATTATAAAACACCCTGCGTCCTATAGGAACCAGCCACCTCATCGATCCCTCTGCATGCTGACAATTATCACAGGGATGTGTCACGCTTCACAGCTTAATTAATATTAAACTGCCTTTTCCATCAAGCTGTCCAACAGAGGATGATATATACGTTTCAGCTTGACCTACATGTTTATATCCCCCCTCAGGCCACGTAAAGATCTGCCTAAGCAGATTTTCAAAAGGAGAAAAAGAGTTGTGCACTGCAAAAATCTCCTTATGAAATAATTTAGAACTCTGATTTTCTTAAAACAAGTCAAATAAATCTGTCAGTGCAATAAGAATATTATACTGTCTCCATTGCCAGGAGGCTTGTTTCATGTATTTTTTAACAGTAGACATTTATTTTGTAACTACGCGTTAGTTGGCTCATTAAACAACATGTTAATTAATGAGCTTTAGAGGTGCTGGTAGGCATATTATGTGTATGAGAGTGGTATTATTCCTAAATATCCCCCCTGGAAAGAAAGTTAATAAGTTTACATATTTCCCAAAATCTATAATCAGTTATAAACAGAAATGATTTGTTAAATGTTTAGCAGTAGCAAAGACATTTTGGCAAACCAGATCCAAACATATTATTTTCCATTTCATTGGCCTGTCCTAACATCATCTATTGCTAATTTTGGTGTCTGAGTAAAACAGCAGGACTCAACAACGTTGTAGCGCAAACAGGAAGAAAAGGCATTAACAAGCCCTGCGTGGATCTATCCCTCACACACGGTGGGAACCTTTGTGTAACTTAGCATCGATAAAGCTGCAAATTTATCGCTGTACCTGACATTTAGCCATCGGTAGAGTCTCCACTGCTACATCAATATCCTGCTGCTTCTCCACGTCAGCTGTTTAAAGCCGTCATGGATTTTGAAAGGTGCTGCTTCCACACTTCTTCATCAATTTTGCCCTCATTTCCATTTACAGTAG